ATTTCAATATATCTACACATCCAATTGTTGGATTTTTTGATAAGTATCATTTTATAATTGGTTTTTTAGACTAAACAAATTAAATTCGTAAAAAAAAAAAAAAAAAAAAAAAAAAAAAATATCAAAAAAAAAAAATCAAAAAAAAAATCAAAAATATATATAAATACACCATAAAAATCCTTTCTTTTTTTCCCCTCCCCTCCTATCATTCTTTTCAACTTTTTTTTCCTTATATTAATCGTTAGTTTTTGTTCTATAAGTCACATTGGCAATTCTATTATGATTATAATCACAACAAAAAAAAATGTATATATTTACGTAAGATGAAACATTCATAATATAAAAGGAGAGTTCAAAAGGTCGGGAAAATGACAAAATATGTATGAAATATCATTTCCTGATCACATGGTCTTATCAAATGATGTAAGGCCTGCTCAAACCCAAAAGTTTTTTGTTATCAATAATATTATTTATTTACCAAAACAGTTATCAAAAATTAATTATTCTGTTCGAAATGGTGTTGTTATATATACCCATGAAGATACCAAAAGTGAACGTTTCTCAACATCAGGCCCATGTGGATGAGAATTCAGAACAGAATCATCATTCATTACAAGCGATGCGCTGGAATGATCCGTTGACATGTTCGACTTTGGTAGAGAAAGCGAAGAAGTTCTAAAATTCGGTGATGATCGACGACGTAAACTTATTTCAGATTGAGCTTGACTTCGTCTCGGTCTTGAATCATCTCCTTCTTGACTTTCTTCTTCAGGTGGTGAAATGATATTAATCTTGCTGGATGACATTACTGGTAGACTCCTTCGGTTCTCCTTCAAATATTTTGAAGATTCCGCATTGCCAATACCCAACGATTCCTGAAGTTCGTATAAAAGGATCATCCTCGGGGAAGGTTGTGGTGAATCGCTACCGCTAATCGAACCATGAGTCACATGTTTTGAATGAGTCACATGCTTTGAATGATCATTTTGAGATGGTAGTAACAAACCAAGACCTTTACGTTCCGAATTATTTGGAGTGTAAGGTGTGTTATTATTTACATTATTATTGTCTTTTTTTTCTAGGGATAAAAGTTCGGTAACTACTGTGCGAGCACGTTCTAGGTTTGCCTGCAATTTTTTATTGTTTTCTTCAACAGGTTCAGCCAAAGGAAAATTGGATGATTGAACCGTTGTTGAATGTTTATTGTCTTTTTCGGTTGTAGGTTTTATCTTTGGATTATTTACTGATGTTTGTTTATTAATTTCACTCAAACTTGATCTTATTTCATTAGCTGTTATAGTACCACCATTACTTTTCTCTGCTGAATGATATGTGTGGATTTTTAAGTTTTTAGAGGAGTTTAATAAAACATTATCTGATATTTTACTGGATTGTTTATTATCGGAGTCTAGTGAGAAATAAGAGAGATACTCTTGATTAGAATAATGAAATGCAAATGTAAAAACGATTTAAAAAATTTAATTATAACAAACCTAATTGAGCACTTGACAAAACTCTGCTGCCTCCAATCTTCGAAGTATAATTAAGAGCATCATTTGCATCTTGGATTAATTCATCAATCACCATACATATTCGACGGAATCGAACGTCATTATCTTTATCGATTTCTGCCAAATCGTTCTTATCAAAAGATAATTTTTATATTATGAATAAATTCTGATGTTTTTCTTTGAAAGAAATCAGTTAACTCGTAATAACAAACATACCTCTGATAAAGAAGTCAATACTTCATCATCAGCATCATCAACATCATCATCATCATCGGATCCATATATCGACATGAATGAGTTATTACTGAAAGTTTTATTAAAAGATATTTACAAATAAATTCTAAAAGATTCTCTCATAATAAATACATAACCAACATACATATGAAGTTTTCTTTTCAATGCTTGAATTTCTGCAGCTTGCTTTTTATTAGAAGCTTCCAATTCTACATTGAATTTCATCAATGACTTTATTGATATTTCCAAATCTTCAATCTAAACGCGATGAATTACAATGAAAAAAAATAAATTTATTAGCGTAACCATTCGCAAGAGGAACAATTTACTTGACCTGCTGATTAAATTATTAATTTACCATATTTTGGACTAATCAGTAGGTCAAATTCAATAAATTATGTGCGCAAAAAAAAAAAAAAAAAAAAAAGAAAAGCATCGCATCACTTATCATAATCTATTCACCTTTCTGTTCTTCCTTGCTTCTCCTGCTTGCCTATCAGCTCGAAAAGTGTCATCAACATGGTCGACCTTTGATTTATCCGACGATGAGTTATCCGACAAGGTTCCGAGAGAAGATTTTGGACGTACTTTTGCGACGACATCCGACTTGATTGAAGAGGTTTTGGTAAGATAACTTTTAACGCTACGTACGCTTAAGTTCGAATTTGCAGATTGATTACTGTCTTTATCGGAATCGGAGTGAAAACCGTCGTCAGATCTAGATTTCTCGTTATCTTGTAATCCTAGAGAATTAGCACGAGGAACGCGAGGATAAGTTGTGTGATTGACAGGCAAAGTGTTACTGCGCACAAGTGGAGGTGCCTGTTTTGGAATATCGAGCCTAGCGCTACTAGCACTTGTCTTAACTCGTGGCTTACGAACGTTGGCAGAGTTTGAACCACGATCACGATTCATCATCAGTTTCTCTTCTTTTAAAACTTTTGTTCGGTGGTTAGCTATATCGTACCGTTGGACTTTCACCAAAGGTACTTGTAATATATACACGTATGAACACTATTATTTATAACGAATTGCGGTTTTATCAAAGTTAAAGATTCGGAGCTAACAAGGGGGTAAGTTAGTTTTTTTCTTAGCACCTAAATAAATAGGGGGGGTAAACAATTAAGCAATATTTTGAACACGTTCAAGGAGAGATACAAGTTTTTGAGGGGAGGTTAGTATGATGAATCTTGACGATTATTTTTATGCCTTGCGAATATAAAGGAAAAGGTAAAGACTTGTCTAGTGAGGGAAAGAAAAAAAAGGATTACTTTGTCGTCGTATTGGATTTGAGGGGGGGTGAAAATTCGATATATAAGTTTAATATATAGGTGTAACGATAAGGTGTAAACAAAGGTAACACAATCGACATAAAGTTTATTTCATTTTTCACCTTGTTTTCACCGATAATAGCCGTCATAATTCTGGGCAAACGATTTAAATTTACCTTGTTTGATAAGCTGCAAGCTAATAAAGTAACCCACTTTTATGACGAATTGAATTTCATTCACACCAACATTTGTATTCCCTTCCTTCTGCGCTGCAATGTACTTGACGAATAGTTGAATAGTACGATACAATCATTATCTATAACGGAAAGTGATGTAGCGAACAAATATTCTTATGTTCCTCTTTTCGCCTCACCTGTTTTGTGACCTGTCACACATTTAAACAGATGCTGCTGCGGAACGTGGTGGACTGTTCATTTTGCATATGAAAGCTTCCGCGTCATTATTTCAAAGCCCATATTTTTACATGTGCCAAGATTCCTATGGTCAGGTTTTTTCCGGTGTTTATCATAAGCCTTAACCTGATTAGCGTCCCGTATTAAAAATTTGTGATAAGTTATATTCATCATATGATGTATGTGTTGTGTAAAGTATTGTTGTAATGTCAGAATTGAATGATTAACCATAATTTTTTGGACGGTCATCATTGTTATTAACAGATTTCTAAAAATTTTATTATTTTATATTTGATATGCATTAAATCAGCTACCGAACCATTCATTCTTAAAGTAACACGAAGACACCAAAAGAAAAGTATGATTCGGTATGAAGACCTAATTTGGACGATTCTCCCATAATGTAATAATGTTTGTTCTTTATATTTTCGTTGACGTATTTTGATAATTGGCCCGACAATGATTTCGTGATATTCAGGTACGTGATCTGCAACGTTGTAAGTTCCCGCAGCTTGTGGGTGAATGTAATTCTAATTCATCATATTTTTTCATTCTTTTTATTAGTGAACTCTTTATTAAAGTTCTTTGTATATTTTTGGGTTATTCTTTGAAGAGATCCGTTTCGGGTTTTTGGGTTTACAAAAAGAAAGAAAGAAAGACGAAGAATTTAGCTTAAGGGAATAATTGAAATCTTAAAATTATTCGAGTTAGACCCATTATTTTCATTTTCATATATTTTTAATTTTTCCTATTTAAAATTTGAAAATAAAAAAAATATATTTAGTATATGATTTATTGGATTTATTAGGTAAATTATTTATGTCATATGATGAATAAGCCGAAATCAAGTGATGGTTCAGTGGTACTATGCTTTGCACAATTTAATAATTTATGAAAATTCAGATGCAGACATTATGAAATAAAAACTAACGGCAAAAACACGTTATATTTGAATTTAGAGTATGCTAATTTTCCCAAGTAGTTTTCAAACCTGTGAAGAGCAAGAGAGAGACGTTGTCTTGAACTCGTGTTCAGAATAGCGATTTGGAGTATAGAAAGGTTTAAGAGTTTTTGAGAAGCTATAAAAACGAGTTTAATATTAGTATTTTACCGAGAATTTATTACAAAAGTACAAATAATAATGGGGATTCCAAAGTTCTTTCGATGGATGAGGTAACCATTTACAACTTTGTACTTTTCCTTAAATAAAATTTAATGTTTTTCATTCGAATTGCTCTGTCGCATCTTTTAAAATACTCTCTGCAATTATTCCGGTCTTTAGTGAAAGATATCCGTTGTGTAGTCAACTAATTACGGAGAACAGGTAAGAATTTGAACGCTAACTAGAATTGTCATTTCAAATAACTTTTTTTGTTCCATAATTGTTTATCATTTTTTGCATTCTTTCGTAAAACTCCGTTTTTTAGGATTCCGGAATTTGGTACCTTATTTTTTTTTTGTTTTTTTTTTTTTTTTTTTTTTTTATAATTTATTTTACATTTCATATTATTCAATCATTACATAAATTGTTGACACCCTTTTTCCATGTTGTAGATAATTTATACCTTGACATGAATGGCATTATTCATCACTGTTCCCATCCAAATGATACGGATGCACATTTTCGTGTTTCCGAAGACAAAATTTTCCTTGATATATTTAACTATATCGATCATTTATTTACCAAAATAAAACCGAAAAAACTATTTTTTATGGCCATCGATGGTATTTATTGAACTGTTTGTCATGCGTTTACAATTATTGTAATTAAATTGTGAATCGAATTGGAAATTCGTACAGGCGTTGCTCCAAGGGCCAAAATGAATCAACAACGTGCTAGACGTTTCAGAACCGCTAAAGAATCCGCAGAAGCTGTCAAAAAAGCCGAATCTAAGGGTGAATCGTTGCCTAAAGAGGCGCCTTTTGATAGCAATTGTATTACACCAGGTTAGATTCATTTTATGTTAAACCTTTCTTTTGAATTAAATTTGATTGGATTCTCAAATAAAGAAAGTTTTTTATTGATACGTTTGATCATTTAGGCACATTATTTATGGAAAAACTTTCACGCCAGCTCAAATATTTTGTAAATAAGAAAGTAACAGAAGACTCGAATTGGAGAAACATTGAAATAGTACTTTCTGGTCACGAAGTACCGGGTGAGGGAGAACATAAAATTATGGAATATATTCGTAACACGAAAGCCCAAGAGAATTACAATCCCAATGTTAGACATTGCCTTTATGGATTGGATGCTGATTTAATTATGCTTGGACTTTTAAGTCATGATCCACATTTTGCTTTACTCAGAGAAGAGGTCACTTATGGACCAAGTAGCAGAAAGAAAAAACCAGGGTACGTTGAAAAAATATATTAAATGACTCTTACGTTGCAATGTTTTCCTAAACTTTAATTTCTTAATCATTTCAAAATATCAGACGGGTTGAATCTCAAAATTTCTACCTCATGCATTTATCATTAATGCGTGAATATTTGGATCTTGAGTTCGGAGTACTTAGGGATAATCTTCCTTTTGAATATGATCTCGAAAGAATAATAGACGATTTTGTCTTGTTAGCATTATTTGTCGGCAACGATTTTTTACCACATTTGCCCAATCTTCATATAGCTGAAGGGGCACTTGGTTTGATGTTTCACGTGTATAAATCAGTTTTACCGGATGCCGGTAAGTTACCATAAAAAATATTTAGGTTTGCATCTTCTTCCTAAATTTTAATCTAGTTAATATTATTCAAAGGTGGTTATATTAATGATGGAGGGAAATTAGAATTGAGCAGACTTGAGATGATATTTAAAGTATTATCTAATTTTGAAAGAAATATTTATGAAGGTAATATGGAAGATTTAAAATGGTTTAAAGGAAAGAGGAAATTTCCGGATATGTTGGAGAAAGATAAAAAAAAGAAATTAAGTATGTATCATCTGTACGTCAATTTATGCGTGCCTAAACTTAAATCATTGAGAAAATTTTTTCAATTTAATTAGTACTAACGCCAAAACAAAGAGAAATCTATGATCAGGTCAAAAAATTAGTAGTATCACGTTCTTCGGAATCAATTCACTTTCCTGTTGATTATCCCGCAAGAGATCGTAATTTTATACAGAATCTTGCTAAAGACTTTGGTATCAAGTGTTTATCTGAATACGATGAAGTTACGGAAGAAAAACATTTATACGTTGAATATGGTTCAGAAGATGGGTCAGACAATGAAATGAGACATAAGACTTTTAAGAAATATGAAGAGGCAAATATTGTTGATGATGGTGATGTCGAAGCATTTGAAGAAAGAGAAAGACAGAATGAAGAAGATAAATTTATTAAGTGGAAGAGAGATTATTATGGAAATAAACCAAAGATTGATTATGACGATCCAGAACAGTTGGATAGAATTGTCGGTTCATATATCGAAGGATTACAATGGGTTTTGCATTATTACTACAGGGGTGTGGCATCTTGGGGATGGTTCTATCCATACCACTACTCGCCAAAGATTTCAGATTTACATGATTTGGAGAGATTCAATATTAATTTTGAAATTGGAAGGCCATTCAAGCCGTTTGAACAATTAATGGGTGTATTGCCCGAAGGAAGTAAAAATCTTATACCCATTCCATATCAGGTATTATGATGTTTAATTGATTTCTTATTTATACTACTTAAGAACCAAACAGCGTACTTATTGTTGCCTTTATCCTCTTTTTATATTATTTATATTTTTTATTTATATATCGACAGGATTTGTTGACTAATCCTAACTCTCCAATAATAGATTTTTATCCCCAAGAATTCGAACTTGATATGAATGGTAAAAAGCAGGATTGGGAAGCGGTAGTTAATATACCATTCATTGATCAAAAAAGATTAGTCGCTGCTTTGAACGGTGAGGTTATGAAATACAAAAAAATTTCCTATTTAACTTATATATTTAAAGCGATAAAATTTTTTTTGGGGGGTATTAGACAAGGAAGACGAATTGTCCGAAGAAGAAAAGCAAAGGAATAGTTTTGGTGACAGCCTTTTGTTTACATATGATCCAAGTCTGGACGAAAATTACCCTTCTTCATTACCAGGTTTTTTTCAAAGTATATATCTTTGTTAAATAAATTTTGCATATGTTTCATGTTATCATACGTATTATTACAATCATAACAACAATTGCAACTTGCTATATTCAGACATTGAACATTGTAATTGTCGTACTGAACCTTATCATCTCCCAACTTTGGATGGTCTGAAGCTTTTAAAAGGGCTTTGTAACGGAGCTCGATTGGGGGTTGAAGCAATGGCTGGTTTCCCATCATTGCAAACACTTCGATATGATGCGAAACTTGCACAACATGGAGTTAATGTTTTTAATTCAGAGAGCAAGCATGTTTTAAATTTCTTAAATACACTCTTTTTTGAATCTATTTCATATCAGCAAATAACAATCACGTCATTCAAACGTTATATAGAAACGAAACTATGGTTATTACATTAATTAATCAATTTGCAGATATGTCAACTGATGATTTGGCTCGTGAAAAACTTGGCAAGAGGATATTTGTTGGTATGTTATACTATGAATTTAATACAAATCTTTCATTTAATTTTAATCATTCTTGTTTATTGTCATTAGGTTGGCCTTTTCTTCAAGAGGGAACATTACAAGCTATATCTGATGAAACTTTTAAATACGTGTGGTACACACCACCCAATGGGCAATCTTATGTTGACAAATATCCCCATAAACAAGAGGATTGGCGACGGAAGGCCGATAAATGCGAACAAGTGTATAGTAAAAGATATGGGACAGTAACTGGAACAGTGGATGTTATTGCTCATGTTTCGGTGCTTAAAGGTATATAATAATTAATTATTTGATAATTATGATTATATATACTAATGTATATTCCAAAATTAAAAGGTATGAAAAGATTGCAAAGTGGCGCTTTAGTTAAAGAATATGCTAACGCTGGGGAGGAGATCGATTATGCAATGCAGACGACAGTGGATGGTGTTGAATGTGAGGATCCTAGATATAAAGAAAAACCTGCTATTTCATTAGCCGAGGAGTTTCCAATTGAAACTCGACTATTTTATTTGGGTAGTCCTTATTATGGAAGTCCTGGAATAATAATTCAACATACTGATAAGTTCCTGTCCGTAAAGATGGTAAGTACTTGTGAGTTCTTTAAATATCTTTAAATATTCGTGGTTTTTTCTTTAATTTTAAAGTTTTCTTTAGATTGTTGATAAAAATTATCAAAAAGAACCAGATTTCGGTCCAGAAATTGCAAGAAAATTTTCTAGTCGGACCAAATATCTTCCTTCTTATGCCGTTGCTAAAAAATTGGGTATGACTGGTTTAACTTTAAGCAAATTGACTGCCAGTTTGCATGTTAGTTGTAAATCAACCGATCAGCGTATCAATCTTGGCCTTAATTTAAAATTTGAGGCAAAGAAACAAAAGGTATTGGGATATACCAGGAAGACCAAAGATTCTTGGGAGTATAGCGAAAGAGCAATGCGCATTTTGGCAGAATATAAGGTTCGTCATCAACATTGAACATTTTTTGTTTGCTAAATTTTTATGCTTAATTTTTATGCTTGTTTGAATCACTAAATTAATTAATCATTGATTACTATTTCCTAAATCTTATAGGATAAATTCCCAGAATTTATTCAAGCTTTAGAACATAAGCATAAAGATGGTAATTATACATATTATTCCAATAACTTGCATAAAATATTCTTTTGATCCTAACATGTATTTGCATAGAAATATATACTGCAGAAGACTTTTATCCCAAAGAAGAAGCCGTGTCCAAAATCCATGCTATCAAGGATTGGCTTAGAACCGTTGAAGTAAGGGATTTTGAAAAGGTATCATTGGATGCAGAGCAATTAGATAAGGTAAAGAAAGTTACTCTCCATGCTATATCTTAATTTTTTTTTCTAGTGGTTGATTTGTATTGTACGAGTCTAAAAGAATTATTAATATAGGAAGCGATAAAAGATATAGAAAAAGCTGCTGATGAGTTTCTTGAACAACGTAAACTCACTAAAATTGAAGTTAAAAAATTATTGCGACATGTAAATAAATTATTTTTATTTTTATTATCTATTCCATGATCTAATAAACTTAATTAACAACTTTTCCCCCTCCTCTTTTTTTTTTTTTTAAAAAAAAAATCAAATAAAGCAATTATTAAAACCATCTCATGCATCAACGATATTGCAAAACCAAAATTTCAACCTCGGTGATCGAGTCGTTTTTGTTAAAGACACCGGAAGTGTACCCATCGCATCAAAAGGTACAATCGTTGGAATTGAAAAAACCAATATCGATGTGGTCTTTGATACCACGTTTATGAGTGGGTCCACGTTAAGCGATAGGTTAGTTATTTATTCTTTATTATTACTTGAATCGAAACAAATTGTAATATGATTTTAATTTTCCATAGATGTTCAAATTATCGAGGAATGACCGTTCCTTCTAACTCTTTACTTAACTTGTCAAGGCCACAATTCCTTGATCGTCATCCAAATAATGGAAATGGTGGTGGATCAAGACATGGATCAGGTTCTTATTATCAATCGACAGTTCAAAATGGACATAATATGTTTCATAATTCATACCCTCATTATAATTCCTACTCGAATCGTGGAAGTGGTAGAGGCGTTGTGCATTCTTCGAATAATCACCCTACGAATGGTTCATATCATCGTCCTCGTGGATCGAATGGTTACATATCAACGCATCAAAATCGATCACGTTCAGTTGGTTCACAATCTTCTACAAAATATATAGGAGGAGCCGTTGTTTATCGTGGCTTTAATGGTAATTCAAGAGGTTCAAATGGGAACGGTTCTTTATTTAGAGGTCGTGGAGGACATTTTGGTAATGGTTTACCATCACGAGGGCGTGGAAGAGGTGATGGGAAAACATAAAAAGAGAGAATCAGACAATAGAATCTCATATAAAAATCAAATCTTTTATTATTATAAAAAAATACACTGGTTGCCTTTGATCACAAATTATTGGTTATCAAAATCTTCGCACTTGTTCTTAATTTGTTTTATATATGAAAATTGATATCATATCATCATTCTTGATCTCTGTTTGTTGGTATAGAAATCATAAAAAATTAGCTTAATATTACTTTATTATGAAAATTTATTAACTTAAATTATCCATTGGATCAATTTATTATAATTTTTGACAAATTTTATTCAAATAAAATATTTTAAACGAAATTTTTTAATCTACCATATAATAAAATTCGGAATAGTTGATGGTTATCGAAATCAATAAAACAACAGTACCTCCTCTCGTTACTATATTGTATTTGAAGGTAAATGCGACATGATAATTTTTCGTGTTTATACTTTCGGAAATTAATGTTTTACCTTTTTTTCTCAAAGGATTTTGTAACAATGGCATTCTTTTTATACATTTTACATTACGCTTATTCGCTTTTAATGTTTTACATTGCGTTCGTTCGATCATCATCCATCACTCCGTTCGATTACAATTCATTCATTCAATTCAATTCATTCATTCATTCATTACGTTTACATTCTTTACATTTCCTATTTTCATTCTCTTACATTCATTCATTTAATTGTCGTTCATTCGCAAGAAATACTTGAAAAAAAAACCCCTCACGTACATGTCTTGAAGACAAACACTGAAGATTTAGATTTTTTAAAGCGCGTGAAGATCAACCAAAACCTTTCGTTCTTTTTCAATATATTTTGTATAATCAACATTCATGTTGCTTACTAATATCTGCAAAAAGAACGTATTAGTTTAAGGTGAACACTTCTGGGATTGAAAAGGAGGAGCTCGGATCTAGATTTATTTTATTGACGAAAGCGATCAACCTTCTGGAAGATCTAATGATTACCTTTCATCAAATTAAGATTATTTTTCGCAAGTCTTGCAAATACTATATCTCCCAGAATCTTTGAAAAAAAAGACGAAGTTGTAAATGTAAATTAAAGTAAATGATATATATATATATATATGCATTATGAAAATGAATATCTTATTTGATTGTATTTATTATATTTGAAATGAATTTTTTTTTTTTTTGTCATGAGGAATACAATACTCGTAGTGTAATGCTACTTTCTTATCCATTATCACCTCTTTTCAATTATGTATCACGTGATAAGCAAAACTTGAAATAAAGTTTCATATTCCACAATCGGAAACTACTGACCGCGTAACCATAATTTCATGCATAGAAGTTCCCATGAATGACAGATGCAGCTTGAATGAGATGAGTCTTTTATTGACGTATTGACATTGAAATATAGGTTCACATTTTCTCTCTTTTTTTATTTTTTTTTTAACCCCTAAGTTCAAGATTTTTCTTGACAACTACAAACTTTCTCCTAAATACTTTTTTCTTTTCTCAGTGTTTATCAATTAACAAAAAATCCTTTTAAAAAAAATAGACCAATATATTATCGCGCGTCATTTTTCTTATAGTTTACACGTAATAAAATGTTTCCAATGTCAGATCTTCCATCCACTTTAGACTTCATTTCACACCGTCTTTCTACTCTCTTGTCTTCCTTATCTCCTTCCTCAGTAATACATACTCTCTTGTTGCTTGTTGTAGTACCTGTCCTTGTAATGATAGGTAATTTCTTAATACCCAAAGACCACGTGTGCAGCCGAACTGCAGAATATGCTCAACCAAACAGTAAACTTTGGAATGCTATAGTGGAGTTTGGAGCTTACCCACGATGGAGGTCCAATATAACAAGAGTTGAAACCAACCCACCGGGACATATCCCACCTGACGGATTTGAGTGGTTTAGGGAATTCTCACCACGCGGCGACATGAACATGAAATTCCGCGTAATAGAACGTTTGGAAGGCAAATTATTAAAAAGAGAGGTATTCTTTTTTATTAGAAAGGTATCAATTTTTATAATATAATATTTATCTCTCTTTTTTTTTTATGATTAGATTGTACGTGAAGGAGGAGTTCATTTCAGTGGTAGTTGGACCATTGAACTTGAATCGACAGGCGAAAACTCTACAAGGGTGACCATCACCGAAAAGGCTAGGGTTCATAAAGCTTTATATAAAGTCATGGGATTGATTATTGGATATAATAAGATAATTGATCTCTTTCTAATGGATCTTGGTGCAAAATTTGATCAGCAAGTAATAATCACGGATTCAATGAAAGTCCAAGCTTCTGGTGAAAAGATCAGAGAAAAGTCGGGGAAATCAAGTAATAAAATGGTTCTCGAAGAATGATTCAAACTTTGAATTTTTAATTTTAAAAAAATTTATACAAGTTTTTCATACAGCACATGATTTTTTTTTTATAAATATATATATATATATCTATTTGTCTTTTTTTTTTTAAAAAAAAAAAAAAGCAATCCTTTTTTATTTTTTATTTTTAAATTTTAAAAAAAAATGAAATGAAGAATAGCTAATTAATATATCAGGGGATTTCTCTCACCCCAAAAATTTTAATATACCCGCTTTTTTTTTTTTTTTTATTATTATTATTTATGGCAAAAATAATTGACAATCCGATTAAGAATTTTTATTGGACATTTAGTGTTGAAAATAAAGGGTAAAAATAATAGAATTTACAAATGAGTTGATAAAAAAGAAAATAAAAGAACTTGAATAGATTGGTTAAAGAACTAAATAACATCACAATCATGAAGAAAATCATGCATATGAACTAAACAAACTAAAAGGTTGTGATAACATTACACATAAACATTACACAACACATGGAAAAACGTGATATCTCGTTAAAGATTTGTGATAAATAATCAAGATGGATCATCAACATGATCATTATAAATAAGTAGTAAATTTTTATCAACAAAAAAAAAAAATTCTTATGTCATGGAGAGTAAAAAAAAAATGACAAAGATTGATGATCATATTCAATCCTTTGACAATCATCAACGTGATAAAAGAATAAAAAAGTATTTAAACCTTTTTTTAGCGTTAGTAATTTCGAGTTCATTATACATTGCATATATAATTCGATATACAAACGCTTCAAATAAAATCACACAATACTCGAGTGGTATATCTTATGAAACATATCATTATGGTTTATTAAAATGTGAAGAGATAAAAAGGATTAAACCTGATAATAATCAAATCCAAGATAGGAGGAGAAATCCTAGATTTGTCCCTGGCACTAAAGATATTTTATTCAAAAATGCCAGAATATTGGATGGTATTGGACATGATTTTCTTGGTGATATATTGTTAAAGAATGGTATTATTAGCGAGATTACTAATATTGATGAAAATGACATTAAAAAGAATGATATTAACGTAACTGATGACACCGTTATGATTGATTTAAAGAAAAAATTTGTTACCCCCGGATTAATCGATATGCATAGGTATTTTTATAATAAACATACAAACTTAATAAAATTGAAGATTATTTTAAAGATAATTAACGTATATACATATATATATATATATTATGTTTTAGCCATGCAGGACTTCTTTCATGGCCATTTTTAAGAGCCACTAACGATATTAATGAAGAAACGGATCCTCTTACACCATTTGTTAGTATAATTATACACTTCTCTAAGATTATATACCTATATATATATACATATATCTTTGTTCATCATTTCATCATTTTTTTTTTTTAGGTACGAGTTAAAGATGCGTTAAATCCAAGTGATCCTGGTTGGTTGTCCAAAAAAAAAATAAAATAATAATAATAATAATAATAATAATTTTATTTTATTTTATTTTTTATTCTTTAAATTAATAGATTTATTTGTTTTACATGTTTTATAGCGATTAGAATAATATCATCAGGTGGAGTAACCACATCATTAATAATACCAGGTAGCGGAAATTTGATGGGAGGAGAAGGACATGTAATAAAGATGCGAAATGTTTCAACATTATCTGTAGTTGATATGGGAATAAATTATGGTATAGATCCATCAGAGGAAAAGGAATGGAGATGGTTAAAGATGGCATGTGGTGAAAATCCAAAAAAAGTTTATGCGCTTCAAGATCGGATACCAACAACTCGTCTAGGTGAAGGTTGGTTATTTAGGAAGAAATTTCAAGAAGCCAGAGATCATTTTAAAAGGCAAAATGATTGGTGTGATTCGGCCAGTAAATTATCTTCTAATAATAACGTACAGTTAGATAGTCCTTTTCCTGAAGATTTACAATATGATAGTTTAATGGCTTTATTTAGAGGCGACGCAAGATTAAATATTCACTGTTATGAGGTAAATTCAAAATTTTTATTATATATATATATATATATTTTTATAATAATAATAATAATTATATTATTATTAAGGTTCCTCCCTCCTTTTTTTTTTTTTTTTTTTTTTAGACAAATGATTTGGAAGCCATAATAAATCATTCATTAGAATTTAATTTTACAATTACGGCATTACATCATGCATTAGATGCATATCGTATCCCGGATATAATCAAAAGGGCAAATTCTCAAATTACTATAGCAACGTTCTCGGACAATTGGGGGTATAAAAAAGAAGCATTTCAAGCAAGTACGAGATCACCAAAAATATTGGCAGATGCTGGCATACCAGTAGCTTTAAAGTCGGATCATCCGGTAATAAACGCACAACATTTAGCATTTGAAGCAGCCAAAGCGCATCATTATGGACTTGATGAGAAATTATCTATAGCATCAATCACTTCCGTACCAGCAAAGGCACTCGGGTTAAATCATCGTATCGGACAAATTTCAATCGGTTACGATGCTGACCTTGTTGTTTGGGATTCTCATCCGCTTAGTTTAGGTGCTACTCCATTAGAAGTTTATATTGATGGAATTCCTCAATTTGGTACCCCCAATTCTGTCCTTTCTGGAAAATCCAAATGCTCTAAAGGATCATCCGCTCAAAATGAACCTGTCAAGGAGAAGGGAAATGAA